CTAGATTTCATGAGGAAAATGTCACCCATGAAATTTAAGGTGAAAGAGTGTGTATGTATGTTTCTAGGGTGAGGGCATTCAGTTTCACTAGGTTCTCAAAGGGAACCCAAAATAGATTCCTATATTCCTTTGTAGAGCTCAGTGAGAACTTGTTGCATGTCTGTATATATGACTACTTACAGCTTTCTTTTTTGGTTTTTGGTGGTACTGGGGTTTGAACTCAGGGCCTTATACTTACTAGGCAGACACTCTACCACTTGAGCCACTCCACCAGCCCAAGCTTTCTTGCTCCTTACATAAAATCATGCTTCTTGTTTGAGAATGGGTTAAAGAAAAGAATGATACTTCTTTAAGAATGTTTTAAAATTCCAAATTTCATTTATTCAAAGACACTTATGATCCCAAACTATGTGTCAAAACACTACGGTAGGCTGTGAGAATAAAAAAAATGAAGATAAGGAACTCACAGTAACTACGGCAGAACCATAATTATAATACAACCTGGTGTAAAGCAGAGACACTGGCAAGAGAGCTTATGTGAGGTATGAAATCCTAAGAGGGCATACATGGAGCTGCATGAGAAATAAAACACTGAGAACACAAATACACTGAAGGACAGCATGAAGGAAAAGCAGTCTGGGAAAGAGGCAGGGAAGGAATGATGAATAAACTAGAAACACAGAAAGGCAGATCAGAAGGATGGTGGAAGCCTAATAAAGTTCAGCGGACCTGGCAGTTAGAGATTATGGGTCACCTAGGATAAGAATTCAGCTACAAGCCAGGTGCCAGTGTCTCACATCTGTAATCTGAGCCACTCAGGAGGCAGAGATCAGGAGAATCAAAGCCAGCCAGGACAAATAGTCCAAATAGTCCAGGTCAAATAGTCCAAATAGTCCATGAGACCCTAACTTGAAAAAAACGCATCACAAAAAAGGGCTGGCAGAGTGGTTCAAGGTGTAGACCCTGAGTTCAAACCCCAGTAGCCCCCCCCACACACACACACACAAATGCAGCTTCAAGAACACAGGATAAAAAGGAATTCATTTTAAGTTGTTGGACTTAAGGGAAGGAGTAAGTAGAAAGAAAGAGGCTCAGTGCAAGATCCAGAAACAGGTGCTATAAAATATCAAAGTTGGAAAAGGGACAAAGTCAAGAAAATGCCTGCAGAACTTGAGTTTGAACATCTACTAAAACCAGAGGGACAAGCATCATGTCAGCAAGGGGAAGAGAGTGGGAATTTGCTACTGGAGATAATTTCCATTAACTAGTTCTCTAATTATATGATTTTTCTACTAAATGTGACAAAAAGGTCTACTAAGGAAAGTGATTTTTTGCACTAACTCCAATAAGGGTGGTTATAAGTGAGCAGAACAAGATGACACAGTATCAGAGTCGAAGCTCGTTCTCTTATTCATTAAAATCTGTACTGCATGTATTTCCTATCAGCCCTAATAGCCCAGTACACCACCAAAAAGGACTTAGGCCAAGGGATGGCAAACTTCCTACCAAGAGTAATGTAAGTCATACAGTCTTTTACAACTACTCAACTCTAGCTCTGTAACATGACATCAGTTCATGCCTGTAATCCCAGCCATCTGGGAGGCTGAAATCAGGAGGAGCATGATTTGAGGCCAGTCTGGGAAAACAGTTCACAAGACTCCCATCTCCAAAGTAACCAGAGGAGGTGTGGCTCAAGTGATAGAGTGCCTTCTTTGCCAGTATGAAGCCCTGAGTTAAAATTCCAGTCTCACCAAAAAAAAAAAAAAAGTCCCTTGAGAAATAAAGCCAAATATGTAAAAAGGAAAAGAAATTTGTAAAATAATGTGCATTTTATTATTGCCTAAGTTTTCTAACATTTCATTTTATTTGTGGGGGATATCCTTTAGTTCATATTAATGGAAGATTAATTATGAAATGGATCAGTAAAGCAAAAAATGGGGCCACATAATTTTCATCATTATAGTATGTTAAGGAAAAGAGTTGAGTTAAAGAACTGGGTTTTTGCCCTCAATGACCAAGTTACTGAACTATGTCTATTTCCTCATCCACATATGGATAACAACCTTACCACTTCAGAAAATTTTGAGGGAAAAATGAAAAAAATGTACTGAAATACTTAGCACAGTCTGACACACAGAGTGTGCATTCAAATTTCAATTATTATCAACCTTAAAATTTTGATAGTAACATTACAAAGGAAAGTTTTAAGACAGAGCTCCAAAAGGAAATACCCTTCCCTCTTCTTTGAAGAGTGTCATACTACTATTTTTATTCTTATCTCTCATTCTCTTCTAATGTTTAAAAAACTCAATACATTGGTCCATTTAAGATGGGGAAAAGTAGTTTCAAAAGACAGCACAGACTGATATTTGAGATAACCCTCAATTGTGAGACTGAAAAGGCACTCTGAGGCAAGGAGAGAAAGCAGACATCTTCCAGAACACAGAGCACAGGAAACCCAGGGCTCATACCCACGATGCACCTCCGAGATTCACCCACACTAATTATAATTAAATTATGATTTCTACATTTGCAAAATTTCTCCTGGAGTCTGTGTCCCAGCATTAACAAACATTGGTTAAATTCTACCTTCCTTTACTCAGAGACTAGAAACCCACGTGATTCCCTAATACAAAAGAATGTACTTCTAGAGAAGTATTAAATGCTTTAATTTTTGCCACTAATGAATTGCATCAATTTTTCTAAAATAGATTTTGGCATACTAAGAGTATCTTTAAATTAAAACTTTGCTTTTACAGAGAGGGAAACTTTTGCCAAGATAGTCTTTAAAAACCCGGCTTAAGAGTCCTGAAATGGTTAAGGACATGACAACATTTCACTGGACACAACTGTACAATTAACTAATGCACTAGTCTTGCAACAAAGCACCTAGAATTGCTCACATATTGGATATCTTCATAGAGAAAACAAAATTTTGGAGCCAGGCACCATTGGCTTACACCTGTAATCCTAGCTACTTGGGAGGCTGAAATCAGGAGGATAGAGGATCGAGGCCAGCCTGGGCAAATAGTTCAAGAGAACTTATCTCCAAAATAAGCAGAGCAAAATGGAGGTGAGGTGTGGCTCAATCTGTAGAGCACCTGCTTTGCAAGCATGAGCCCTGAGTTCAAACCCCAGTCCCATCAAAAAAAAAGGAAAAAGCTAATCTTTTAGTACACAGCACAAAGCATCCATCACTGGACATCTTCAGAGCTGCCACACATCTAAACTTTCTTGGCTTTCTAAAAGGAACCCAAATTACCTTCAAGATGAAGACACAGAATAGTAAACAAAAAATTCAAGATATTAACTTTAAAAATAACCAAAGAATGGACTACCAAAAATGCTTTAAAGAAACATTTAGGGCTGGAGATGTGGCTCATGCAATAGACCATCTGCCTAGGAAGCACAAAGCCAAGTTCAAACCCCAGTACCACCCTGTGTGTGTGCATGTGTGTCTAGCATGTAAGAAGCCCAGCATTCAAAAAAAAAAAAGACAGTACACTGCAACTGTTAGATAAATGGCCTAGTGCCTGATAAAGGGGGAACAATGCTTTTATTCTGGCCAATATTCTTTTCAGAGTGCTACATATTACAATCAACTAAAATTTTATTTTTCCTTTTGGCTTATAACCAAATTGAACTTTTAAATTAAAAAACATGGAATATTTCAAAGTGCAAGTATAAATAATTCGGTGCTCCTACACATAAACAAGATTAATTCCAAAGGCAGCAACTAAAAAAAGACTTGTCTCCTTGTATGGGTTACTGAAGAGCCCTTAAGACAAAGGGCTGTGAAAGACACAGACATATGAGAAGACACAAAAACAGAACACTGCTTTCATCAGCATTTCCAAGCAGTTACCAGTACCTAGCCCTGCTAGCCTGAAAAAGCAGCTGACTACAAGGTGAGAATCTTGTTAAGAGAAAGGCTTCAACTTCCTGTGCCTCAGAGTTTCTGTAAAGAATCTGTCCAACAACAAAAACAGTTGTCACTATAGACTGAATCGTGCAAATCAAATTGTAATGATTTATAACCTGCAACAGAATTGCCTATTGACTACAGGGTTTGGTATACACAAATTAACAGAAATTTTAGAGCCAAGTTCAAAGTGCCTTTTGCCAGTTACTGAACACTCAGCACTCCCAGATGCTCCTCCTCAAGGAACACTTGAAACAGACTAATACAACTACATACATACCCGTTTTTTTTAAGGACTCACAATACAGGATCATACTGGATTTTGTTGTTATTGTTGTTGTTTTGTTCTTTCTTGGGAGGGAGACCGAGTCCCTGTATGTAGGTCAGTCTGCCTGCAGGCTCTTGATTCTCCCAATCTCCACCTCCTGGGTGCTGCGACTATAGGCATGAGCTACCATGACCACCTTTACAACTATTATTTTAATAGAACACACACTCTCATTACCTATAGTACCAAGTAATGTTTCTCTGGGTTATTAAATACTTTTCAAAAAGACACTAAAATTCCCTTTTCTTAAAAAAAAAAAAAAAAAAACAAAGTAAGTAAAAATAAAAAATAAAGATCTAGGGCTGGGTGCATGGCTTAAGTGGTAGAGCATTTGCCTAGCAAGTGCAAAGCCCTCACTTCAATTCCCATGAACTACAAAAAAGAAAAAAGGTCTGGATGGAACAGATTGGCTCATGCCTATAATCCCAGTGGGCAGAGATCAGGAAGATAGGGATTCAAGGCTAGTTAGTGAAATCCCATCTCAACCAGCAGGCCAAATATCATGATGCACACATGTCATCCCAGCTACATGAGAGGCACTACTAGGAGGACCTCAGTGAAGGCTGACCCAGAAAAAAAATGCGAAAGATTATCCAAAGAATAACTAAAGCAAAAAGGCCCTGAGTCCAAACACCAGTCCCACCAAAATAAACAAGTAAAAACGATGAGAAAGTCTGTATGATCACTGTGGAGAGTACTGCTTTAACCAATCTGCTAAACGATGGGGCATATTTAGGAATCAAAGCCCACCTCTTCTTGCATAACTGGAGTCCATATCTTTAAACTGTACCACAACAAAGTCTGAGCATTTGAACAAAATACTCTCCATTATTTCTTCACGTTTCGGCCCCGGACTGGATTCTGTACTTTTCTCATGTGCAGCATCAAGTACCAAATCACACTAAAATAAAAAATGAGAAGTATTAAAACACCATACAATAAACGCTGAGAGAAATCCCTTAGCTCAAAGGTGCTAATCTTACATGCCTTTGGCAAAAAATAACTCTTTTAAATAAAAGAACCTGAAAATCAGGCCATTTTTGTCAGAAATGTGAGCTATCATCCATTCTGTCATTCAAAACTCCTCAAATCTAGAAGTTGGCCTTTGTTGCTGTGGTGTGTCATAAGTACATTAATAATGATAGAAAGAAAAGAATGAATCACCCCCATTCCCCTCCTACTTCACAATGTTCAAAAACGGCTAAAATTTTATATTAAACACATAAATCAAGAAATCTTTTTTTGGAGACTGGAGCTGTGGCTCAAGCAACAGAGCACCTGCCTTGCAAGTGCAAAGTCCTGGGTTCAAACCCGAAGTCCCATAAAACGAAAAAAAAAAAGAGATTTTTTTGTTTTAATAGTGAAAATGATAGCCAAGTTTATTAGATAAGGAATACACTTTCACTAGACTGAAAGCGGGTCCTCTCAGAAAGGGAGGTTGAGAAGGAGAACCACCAAGAAATCTTTTTGATTCCACAAACTAGACACTGAAATAGTCAATACTGAAACTAAAAGAGCAAAACCAAAGTGGTTTTAAAACCAAAGCATTAAGCATGCAAATGTTCTTTTAATTATTTATAAGAAAAACTATCACATGAACTTGATGACAAATACTCTCAGCTCCTCACTATGAACAGTTAAATCAGAAGCTGACAGACTCGATCCAGGAAAGGACACAAACATACAGAGTTGATTTATATTAATAAAAAGACTACAGATTACCTTGGGACTGTATGTTTTAAAAACTCCTTCATATATACCTCCGTTTTTCACCTGTACTTCACATTTGGATCCCTAAAAAGATATAATTAATTTTTCAAATAAACAGTATGCTACCCCTTCATCACAGGTTTTCATTTTACCTTTCATAGTTCATCAACCCTCATTAAATACTAAGCATTCACTGACAAAATGATAAAAACTTTCAACACACTAGTACGCTGAACTCTCAAAATTCTGGTCAAAGTTTATGGTATGAATTTAAATACTAAGATTAAACATTTCTGATCTCACCAATATCTGAAGACAAAACAGTGCACAAAAGACAATTGACTATAAACGTTATTTTATACACTACAGTTTAGCAAGAATGTTTACCATCAACTGTATAAAGAGTTCTAATGCATTTTTTCTCAATAATTTTGATTAAGCAGGACCTAACATATGCTGTCTTGACAGCCATTTATCTGTATTATTCTAACTTCATATAATTACTTTATTCCATCCCAAGATAGTTCACCCCAAGAATCTGTAACTTACAACCACCGATGTAAGAATATGCACCATCCTCATATTTGCATAGATTCCGTCAAAAGAAATCTGAATGTTAAAAAAGAAAGAAAAGCAGTATCAGAAATTAATGTTTTTGCTTGTGTACATATTAAAGTTAACATTTATTTTATTATAAAATGGTTAGTTAGATTTATAATGCTCTATGTATTAAAGGAAGATTTTGTTTACTGTAATCTTTTGCTTCTTTGGAGAACAGAAGGCAGGGTTTAAACAGTGCAATCGGTCCTATCAGCTAACAATAACATAGACCATACATGACACAAAAAGTGCAAATCTAACTTCCACTTATGAGGAAAGGCAAGATCACAGGAAGGTAGACAAATCAGTAGGTGGGGAGTGAAGGTTCACTCCACAGTTGGGGGGAAGGGCGGATGAGAGAACTGTTTTACTGTCCTGCTGATCGTGGTGCTATAGGATTACAAGAACTTGCCTAGCATTCATGAGGTGATGGGTTCCTATCCCAGCACAAAACGGACGGGGAGATGACAAAACACATCACAGATCCATACCCTAAACAGGGCTACTAAGTACATCTTATTAAAGAAAAGGAGAGGGAAGTACAGGCATGCCTTTGCAGAAGAGCCCTGACTAGCGTCTCTCTGGTCAATACCCCTGCTCCATATGACACACATTGTGTGTCCTCCTGACTCTTATGAAGACAATCTGACCAATGAAAGCAGTCTCGCTGGGTGCTGGTGGCTTATGCCTGTAAATCCTAGCTACTTGGGAGGCAGAGATCAGGAGGATTGTGGTTCAAAGCCAGGCCAGGCAAATAATTTGAAGACCCTATCTTGAAAAGCCCTTTACAAAAATAGGGCTGGTGGAGTGGCTCAAGGTAAAGGCCCTGAGTTCAAGTTCCAGTACCACCAAAAAAAAAAAAGAGAGAGAAGGCAGTCTCAAACATGATAAAATTTCAAAATCTAGACCAGAACCCTTTCTAAGGGAGGAAAATGAAAAGGAGTAAAACAACACCATAATTAAAAACTAAAACCTGAAGACCTTGCAAACCACAGTCCTGACAAAAGAACCAGTGCTTGTTAGTACTGCATGTAGCAGACACTGTTTATAAACTTACATCCATGTAGTCATCATGTGCACAAAACAACACATGCAGCAAAAATCTGAACTACACTGTTACTGATCTGAATTGCTACCTGCAATCAAATTCACAAGAATTTCTCTTTTGCTATGCCACTTGATCTATGGTTAGAAATGTTTCCACAGAGCTTTCCTAAGGAAAGAACAGTAAAGTTACTCACCGAAGACTGAGGCAGTCCTTTGCTACTGTTTCGGCCTCTGAAAAGATTAAATATTTTAATTAAATTCCACAGGATAAATAAACTAAAAATATTCTCAAATCTAAAGCTTAAATACAAAACAGTACTACTGTCCTTGGGAGACTGGTCCGATCCAAGCACACCAAAATTCAAGCTGCTCAAGTCCTTCATATAAAAGGATGTTAACACTTGCATAACCTAAGACCTTCAGATTACTCAAATAACTACGGCATCCAAATACCATGTAAATAGTTGTAGACTACATTTCAGTAACAATAAAAGATTCTGTACAGTAATGATGCAAATTTTCCACTATACATACATACATACACATACACACATAATATAATTTTGGTTTTGGGGAGGGTGTGTTTTAACTCAAGCTTCACACTTGCAAAGCAGGGCTCTACTACTGAGCCACACCTCCATCCATTTTGTTCTGTTATTTTGGAGATAAATGTTTACAAAAACTATTTGCTAGGTCTGCCTGAAACACAGTCCTCCCAATCCATTCTCCCAAGTAGCCAGGATTCAGCACGGTGAACCACTGGCACCTGGCTTCCCCAATAATTGATCCATGGCTACTTGAATCTATAATGTGAACCTGACAATGTCTAACTATTTTCTATGAGAAAAGATTAGGCCTCTCAGAATTAAAAATTAAATATTAATAAAGTGAAATGTGATATTCTTATAACATTAGCTCTTGAACAACAGGACTGGAAAATCTCACTTTTAATAAAGTGATCACGTCCTCAAAACAAGCCAAAGTTTGAAACATTCAGGGAAAAGTACAATTTAGGTCCAAAGTCTAGGGCATGACTTGTGCATCCCCTGTAGAAGCACATGTCTCTAACTCCTGAAACCAGGGCCAGCTTGTCTCAAACTCTACCTTCCTCACCTTCTCATCTAGAAATAATGGCTTAGACCAAATGACCAAGGTTTCTTTCATTTCTAGCATTCCGACTCTAAATCTTGCCATCGCACATAGGACAAAGCCAGGAAATTGTTTGCTTGCTTTTATTTTCTTGGTTTGTTGAGGCAGGTCTTGCATATGACCCTAGCTGGCCTGAAATTCTCATCCTCTGGGCCCGCGGAGTCCAAGAACTAAGATTACAGGCAGCACCACCACACCCATACCAGAAAATTCTTTAAATCCCAAGGAATTTGAGAATCACTACAGAACTTACTATGTACTAATACTATGAAAGCATTTCACTGCATTCCATTTACTCTACCACAGAAACTGATTCTCCAAACAGTTAAAGTTTCCACTAAAGCCATTCAGTTCATAGGCGTAGATCTGAACTGAAACCACGCTATCTGATCCACATCCAGACTTCATTTCTGGGCCTACTTACCTCTTGGAAATTCTATTACATGGGATAAACTGGCTGCACTCTTCAACTTCACACTTAGTTCTAACTGAATTTCCATGCTTTGTGAAACATTTAAATTTACTATTTTTCTCTGTATGTACAGCCTATACCAAAAAGCTTAAAACAGCTAAATTTTGCATGGAAGGATTATCTTATCCTGGTGGCTGCTGAGATGACAATGTATCCTTAAACACATATGGTCTCCCATAAAGATATGTCAAAGGCTAATACTTGAGTCTTTTACAGACCTGCACTATGTTTTTAAATTGTTTACACAGCTGTATCTTTGACTAATAAAAAGCAACAATTTAATAATCTATCAGTTCAACCAAGAAAACAATAAAAGACTCAAGGTGGCTGGACACCAGTGACTCACATCTATAATCCTAGCTACTTGGGAGCCTGAGATAGGGAGGATCACTGTTCGAGGACAGCCTGGGCAAATAGTCCATGAGACCCCATCTCCAAAATGACCACAGCAAAATGAACTGGAGGTGTGGTTTGAAGCCCTAAGGTCAAACGCCAGTCCCACATGCACACACAAAAATGCCTCCTTGTGGCATAAAGTAACACAGGACTCAGAAGCCACTGACTTCCACTTGCCCTATCAGATCCGCGAGGCAGTTAGGTGCCCAAGAGTAACGTTAGCACACCAGTGCACATTCTCTGAGAATGATGGAAATTCAAATTCTTTTCCTTCATGTGTAGACCCAGATTATCCTTTAATTTTCTCCATTAGCATTTCAGACCAAATCACCTACTTCATATATTACTTCAAGATGAGCATCCCTTCTTGGACATGCTTGAGACCAGAAGGGTTTAGGATTTCAGATTTTTTTCAGATTTTGGAATATCTTGGGGACAGAATTCAAGTTTAAACATTCATTCATGATTCATATGCATATCACACACACAGGATTAAGATAACTGTATACAGTACTTCAGGTATACTTGCATTTGAACTGCAATCAGTCATATGAGATCAAGTACAAAATTTGCACTTATGCTGGGAAAGGTGGCTCACACCTGTAATCCTAACCACTTGGGAAATAAAGATCTGAAGACTGCAGTTCAAGACCAGCCTGGGAAGAAAGCTCAACCAATAAAAACCTGGGCATGGTGGCACCACACACCTGTCATCCTAGCTTCTTAGAATCTTTAACCAGGAGAACTGAAGCCCAGGCCAGCCCAGGCATAAACTCGAGACCCTATTCAAAAGTAAATAAAGCAAAAGGGCTGGGGAGATGGCTCAGTGGAAGGGTGCCTGTCTTGCAAGTGTAACACCCTGAGTTCAAACCCCATAATTGCACCAGGTGCCTGTAATCCTAGTTAATCAAGAGGCAGAGATCAGAAGGATCACAGTTCTAAATCAGCCCAGGTAAATAGTTTGTGAGCCCCTTATCTTGAAAACACCCAACACAAAACAGGGCTGGTGGTGTGGCTCAAGGTGTAGGCCCTGAGTTCAAACCCAAGTACTGCAAAAAAAAAAAAAAAAAAGAAAGAAAAAAGAAAAGCATTTGCAGATGTGATGAAATAAGAGGCTGGATCTAATCTATAGTGTACAGGAAGCATGTGCGCAGAACACAGAATATATACCATGGGTTTATTCTATCTGTTAAATCCCAAGTGTGGTGAATTCGGCATAAAAGTGACATTATTTCTTTAAAAAATAAATGCTAAGTGAAATAAAAAAACAGTATGGATGGAAAGAGGAACTACTGCAAATTTAAAGACACAGGCTGGTGTGTCTCAGTGGCAGAGCATGTGTTGGCCCTAGGTTCAATCTTCAGCGTGTGCACACAAGACACAATAAACCAGGTGTGGTACTTCTGCCTATAATCTCAGCACTGAGGTGGCTGAGGAGAGAGCATGGAGCATTTGAGGTCATTGGGCTACAGATAGAGAGCCTGCCTCAAAAAAAGTTAAAACAAACAAAAGACACATAAATCAAAATGCAATTAGCAGGACTTCTTGATTTCAAACCTAAGTACAAAGATACAGTAATCAAAACAGCATGATACTGGAGGTTAAAAAAAAAAAAAAACCATAAAAAACAATGAAACAGGATAGAAAGCCCTAAAAAAACTTCTGGATAGCAGTAATACTTTCCAGGAAAGCTTAATACGTATCTAATTGAGAAATGTGAAAGCGCTCTTGCTCATTTAACTTTTTTAAGGGAGGATGCTGAGGATTGAACCCAGGGCCTCATGAATGCTAAGCATAAACTCTGGCAATGAACTACACCCTGACCCCTCATTTAAATATCCTAACACTTCATATTGGATTTATTTTTGACAGTACACGTTTGAATTCAGGACCTCACGCTTGTCAGACAGGGGCTCAACCACATGAGCTAATGCCAGCCTTTTTTGTGTGTGTTGGGTATTCTGAGATAGGATCTCGTGAACTATTTGCCTGGCTGCCTTGGAACTGTGATCCTCCTGCTCTCTGCCCCGAGGAGCTGGGATTAGAGGCGTGAGTAAGCAGTACTGGGGACAGAACCTAGGCACGTTGGCCCATGCTCAGTAAGCGCTCTACCACTGAGCTATACCCAACCCCTTCAGACTGGAGTTCAACAGAGATTTATCTACCTATGAAAACGCAAGGGATTGCACCAAATGCACACTTGATGAAAAATGCCATGAACAAGTTCCACAAAGGCAGGGACCGTTATCACTGAATCAAAAGCACCCAGCTCAAAATTAAAGTGGAAAGTTCATTAAAATAGACCAAAGAGATATATATGCAACTTGGGAATCTCATTTAAATGCTGACTCCAGTGAACTATAAAACATAAAATAAAATTGGGCTGGAGCTGTGGTTGAAGCGGCACAACATCTGCCTAGCAAGTGGGAAGCCTAGTACAGCCAAAAAAAGAAGAAAAGAAAATCATGAAATAACTATGCAGTAAGCCAAAAAAAAAAAAAAAAAAAAAGAACAAAAAGAAAAAATGAAGGGCACACTCACTGGACAGGAAAAAGAAAGAAGACATTATGGTTATTTACGAACAAAATTTTAAAAGAATTAAAAAAAAAAAAACCTACACTAGAAATAATGATGAAGTTTAGAAAAGCCACAGGATACAAAGTCCAACATGTGATATAAAAATTACCTACAGTAGCAATGAACAACTAAAAATTGTTACTATAGTTGGGCGCCAGTGGCTCACACCTGAAATCCTAGCTACTCAGGAGGCAGAGATCAGAAGGATCATGGTTCAAAGCCAGCCCAGGCAAATAGTTCATGAGACCCTATCTCAAAAATACCCTTCACGAAGAAGAGCTGGTGGAGTGGCTCAAGGTGAAGGCCCTGCATTCAAATTCCAGTACCACAAAAAGAAAAAAAAATATTGTAAAATAACATCACTTATGGCAGCACTGAAAAAATGCTTTACTTTGGGATGATAAAAATGTTCTGAAACTAGACAGTGGTGATGATTGCACAGTAGCATAACTTAAAAATAGCCAATGGCAAATAAGTGAACCTCAACTGTTACCTCACACCATATTCAAAAAACGAAAATGGTCAGGTGCCGGTGGCTCACGCCTGTAATCCTAGCTACACAGGAGGCAGAGATCAGGAGGATCTCGGCTCGAAGCCAGCCTGGGCAAACAGTTCAAGACACCCTATCTTGAAAAAC